CCATGATTACACTTTATGTGTGAATTATTTTTAACTATGTGATAAAAACATTAGGATACAGAGGGAAACCTATGGTCCAGTGACAGCACTAATATCTAAATTTAGGCTAACCATGTGAGTACCATCAGCCTTTCATCATGGTTCAAATGTTGAGGGGCAGTATTTGACCCATGTATGGCGTGTAATGATAGTTTCACTCTACCCCATATTTAAGGATTATCATTATCCACTTCATTTCCATGGATCTACCTCCATAAGCTAATTTTTGGGGGGTTGCTATGCTGTATTTAAACAAAAGTAAGGTTTACAGGCACATGAAACTAAATTAAACTCATGCACATCAGCCAGTGACTTGGAGATTCATGAGGGGAGCACTGTACCTGACTTGGTATGATCAGAGAGGATAATTAGAGTGATGGAGGTTAGCATTTGCTGAGTACCCCTAACATGTTCCATGTGTTAACTAATGTAAATATCAAAAGACCCCCCCCCCCTCCGCTTTACTGAAAGAAGGATATAAGACTCAGAAAGGTTAAAAAAAAAAAAAAACTTTTCCAGGTGTCCACTCAGCTAATCAGTGAAGGGCTGGGTTTGGAACTCAGTCCTACTGGACTACACAGCCCGTGCTCTGAACCAACTCTGCCCAAATAATTTGCAGACCATAATGGCTGCCCTCAGAGTTGTTTCCTCACCACCCCGCCCCACCCACTGATATTTAAAGCATTGCATACTCCTCTTTTTTGTTGATAAGCTCACTTCAGCAATACCCTATTCTTATGTACCATCGTATATAATAACAGCAAATAAAAATTTAGAATTTTTCCCCCCAGAGCACCAAAGTCTCTGGAACATACATCTCCCTTCCTAAATTGAGAAATATGCCAGTAGAGCTCTTTGATATTTATTTCTCAAAATCTAGTTCTGATTCTATGTCTCTGGAAAGTGCACTTCCTGGAGTTCATTCTTTGATGTCAATGTGGGCCCTGCCCCAGACCCTCTCTGCAGCCCTCCACTGCTCCTTCTTCCTTGGTTTTGGGGGCCCCTCTGTTTCTCAGAAAGTGTTCTTACCCTTCCTCCTTCTCAGGCTTCCCTTTTTCAACCTCCCCTTACCTACTGATGTTTCCCTGAATTCTCTTCAGTTCTTTCACAATACGAATGTTGCCTCTCATTCAAATCCACAGTTTTAACTACATTTATAAGCCGCTGATACTCAGCATCTTCCCTGAGCTCCAAACCCAGATGTATATCTGCCTGCTTAGCATCTCCTGGATCAACAAGCCCCCTAGCAGTCTCCTCAAACTGCCCCTACTCCTCAGTTCTCAGTCTCCGTGAATGGCACTCTTTCTTCCCAATTTTCCAAGCCAGAAATAAGAAAAGCTTGGACTTTACCTCCCTCCAAGCTCCATATCCTTACTAAGCTCTCCAATTCTATCCACAAATCTCTCTCAGTAATACATGTCTACAACTCTCCATCCCACTGTCCTAGTCCAGCCCCTCTTCAGTCTCTGCCTGGTCTACTGTAACTGCCTTCTGACTGCTATCCCTGACCCTGGTCCTGTTCCCTTCTAATCCACCCCCCATCTTGCTGCCAGAATGACACTACAAAAGCCCAAGTGGGGGCTTCCCTGGTGGCGCGGTGGTTGAGAGCCCGCCTGCCATGCAGGGGATGCGGGTTCGTGCCCCGGTCCGGGAAGATCCCACGTGCCGCGGAGCGGCTGGGCCCGTGAGCCAGGGCCGCTGAGCCTGCGCGTCCGGAGCCTGTGCTCCGCAACGGGAGAGGCCACAGCAGTGAGAGG